CCGCGCCTGGCCTCTTTTCTTTCTTTCTTTTGAGACAGGGTCTCTTGATCATAGCTCACTACAGTCCCAATCTCCCAGGCAGGCTCAAGTGATCCTCCTGCCTTGGGCCCCTGAGTTGCTGGGACTATAAACACATGCCAATAGGCTCAGCTAATTTTTAAAATTTTTAGTAGAGACAAAGTCTCACTATGTTACCCAGGCTGATCTCAAACTCTAGCTCGAGTGATCCTCCCACCCAGACCTCCCAAAGTGCTGGGATTACAGGTGTGAGCCACTGTACCTGGCTAAATCTTTACGCTCTGAGTTGAGCCCTTCCAAATCCAAACCTCTTCTTGCAAGCTGGTTCACTGATGGGATCTGGCATTCCTATCTGGCACCTAGCTCTTCTTTTCTTAGTCCGATTTATGATAACGGTATTTGGGTGTAGACCAAAGACTTATCTCAGTATGCACAAGGTTTTGGGTTGATCAACATTCAGGAGATTCTGTAAATAGTACTGGAATTCCAGCCTGATTTTTCTTGACTACTTCATCTGATTTGCTCTATTGGAGAATCATAGACTTTTGCTTTTTCACAGAATTACTGATTCTTTAAAAATATTCAGCTGGGCTCAGTGGCTCATACCTGTAAACCCAGCACTTTGGGAGGCCAAGGCAGGCAGATCACCTCAGGTCAGGAGTTCGAGACCAGCCTGGCCAACATAGAGAAACCCCATCTCTCCTAAAAATACAAAAATTTACCAGGCGTGGTGGCAAATGCCTGTAGTCTCAGCTACTCGGGAGGCTGAGGCAAGAGAACTGCTTGAACCCGGGAGGGAGAGGTTGCAGGGAGCCGAGGTCTCGCCACTGCACTCCAGCCTGGGTGACAGAGGGAGACTCCGTCTCACAAATAAATAAAAATAAAAAATAAAAAAATAAAAATATTCAAACAATCTTGTCTTTCTCTGCACAGCATGGAGTAAACCACATTCCAAGGTTTTTCTCTTTACTGTAGAATAGGATTAGGAGCCAACATCTGCTCAGTGGCCACTGACCAGACTCTCAGGGCAGTGGATGATATCCCTTAACACCAAGAAACACTGTTGTAATATTGTTTTAATTGTTCTTATAAACGTCTCCACCAGGTGCAGTGGCTCACGCCTGTAATCCCAGCATTTTGGGAGGCTGAGGCAGGATTGCTTGAGCCCAGGAGTCCGAGAGCAGCCTAGGCACCATAGTGAGACTCCCATCTCTTTTTTTTTTTTTTTTTTATTTGAGATGGAGTCTCTGTAGCCTAGGCTGCAGTGGCACAATCTCGGCTCACTGCAACGTCTAATTTTTGTATTGTGATCCTCCCACCCAGACCTCCCAAAGTGCTGGGATTACAGGTGTGAGCCACTGTACCTGGCTAAATCTTTACGCTCTGAGTTGAGCCCTTCCAAATCCAAACCTCTTCTTGCAAGCTGGTTCACTGATGGGATCTGGCATTCCTATCTGGCACCTAGCTCTTCTTTTCTTAGTCCGATTTATGATAACGGTATTTGGGTGTAGACCAAAGACTTATCTCAGTATGCACAAGGTTTTGGGTTGATCAACATTCAGGAGAT